GGGGACACAGGATATATACCTAGTGCGCAAGTTGACTTTGAAAATAAATAAATATAGGAAACTTTACCACGTCACTTTAATTAATGGTAGACTGAAAAATCGTAAAAGAGTCAATTTAAAATTAATAAATGTAGTAATGATATTTAGGACTCAGTGAATTAAACCAATAGATTAAGCTTTTGGGTCCTCTTTTTCCTGAATAGGTATTTGGGTGTATGAGTTTATGTAAAGAGTGAATCTCTTTTAACGTCATAAAATCCAATTTTAGATAGCCCATATTAGCTAAAGCTGGAACCTGGTCTGACTGTCAGTTATTTAAAACTTTTACGGCTAGACTCGTCGACGAAACTAGAACTTGAATTTGTTACTTAAACAGTAACATATTCAAGTATCCATACTAATATTATAAATGCGAAAACGTGCTGCCTGTCTGTCTGTCTATCTGTCTGTTACCTATTCACGCTTAAACCACTGAACCGATTTAGATGAAATTTGATATGGAGATGATTTGAGTTGTAGTGAAGGACAAAGGCTACTTTTATATATGTTTTTACTGCGATAACCGACATACACGCGGGCGGAGCCGCGGGCAAAAGCTAGTTTTTTTTATAAGTAAAGATCAAAATTTAAAACATGTCTGTTCATATTTGTGTCATAAATATGAACAGACACGTTTAATTATCTAAATAAGTGTGTTCTATATTATGGAACGATGTGTATAAATAGGATAATTATGTTTATAAATGGGCTTTTTGTGTGTTTATATTTTTTAAAGACCTTAGGACATTAGGAATGTATCCTGAGTAGCGGGGGACTTAAACATACATGAAACGCACACAAAGAACACCCAGACTCAGAACAACCATTGGTGGATCACACAAAGTGTCATCCCATGTGGGGATGGAACCCACAACACTCAGCGTTGTAGGAAACGGCGTGGTGACCGCTTAAACCACTTCGTCATTTTAAATTTCAATGAATGGGTCTGTTGGTCTAGTTGTTAGCGACTCCTAGGCCAGTGGCCAGGGTACACCTGGTTCCCCGGCTATTGGTAACCGAGACGGCGTGCGGTTTTTAGTCGGTTCGAGTCTGACATAGCCACAGGCAGGTGGTATCCGAGGGGATTTCCTCACAGAAAAAAAAGGCCAGTGATCGTGGGTTCGGTTCCCACCCAGGACAACTATTGTTGCATCATTGACCGTTTGTTCTCTGTCTGGGTGTAATGTATCTGTAGTATGTATATATTTAGAAGTATGTGTCTGGTTGACGGCAATAAGCTTACCCCGTTTTACGTCTCGTCCGTAAACGCCAAAGATTGGCGTGGGTATTCTTCAACCGTCTTTGATAGTCTACTGCTCTACATAGACCTTTCCTTAGAAAGGGCGTTTCGGCCTACTATACCACGCTGGCCAGACGGATTGGTGTAGGGTTTGTTTCAAGTTTGCCTTTTCTTTGCAGTTCTGTTGTCCTGCGTAGTTTGCTCCCTTAGTCGGCTCTTACGATACCCGCGGAATTAATAGCGGTGGTGACACTCCGTATTCTTAATCCGTCACCACACGGACAATAACCTACTTGGATTGCCAAGAGGTTCAGTAAGCTCCATTTTTAAACGAATGTCAAAGCGGCATTGCTAGGCTCGTATCAAATATGGTTCGGGTTCGAGACTTACTACGCAAATGGTAAAATGGTACGCAAATGGTAAAATGGTACACAAATGGTATTATCACAATTAAATATTTACTTCATCTTGTGTTGCTTTATACATTATGCTTTGTAGGTGAGAGATTCGTGCTCTACCGGGTCTACAGGAGTGCTACCACGACCTTACAGAAAAAGAAAGGAATAATATATTCCTGTGCCGCGGGGGACTTGACAAACATACATGAACCGGACACAGAGAATACCCAGGCTCAGAACAAAAATTTATGGATCACACAAAGTGTTGTCCCATGTGGGGGTCGAACCCACAACACTCAGCGCAGTAGGTAGCGGCAAGATGATCCGTGCAGTAAATGAGTGAGTGAGAGTAACAGAGCCCAAACCCCTCCTCCCTCCTAATCTGGGCGGACGACTCAGGGGACGGCAAGGCATTTGTGACTCCTGAGTTGCAGGTGTCCATTGGCGGCGGTAATCACTTACCATCAGGTGACCCGTCTAATCAATTGCCCCCCCTATATCATAAAGAAACACAAAATAATAATAAAATTTGTGGATACTGCGAATAGTATTTACTCGCCTATGAACATATTTGTATGTATAATGTATTCAAACAAGCATAATGCTAGTATTTAATGTATTTATATTGTTATTTAGTATGCAACATCGAGAATGTATTGTATGATACCACCTGCGCAAACAAGGTGCGACGCGGGAGGAAAAATCGCACTCATTATAATATCTCACCTTGCTAATTGTTTCTACTGAAATTAATGTGTAGGAATTTTAAAAATATTGTGCGAAATAGGCTACGACAGACTACTAGAAAAAGAATGAACTTAGAAGCTGAAAGGAACTTTCTAAGCACTTTTTAATTATTCAGCTAAAGTTATGAATCACAGTGATGGTTTCAGTTTTGAGTGACCAAGAAGTGATACGAAATATTGAGTATTCAACAGGTTAGATAAAATTTAAACATTATTCGGTCAGCAATGTAGAAGCTAACAGATGATATTGTTAAAAAAGCTTAATCTCTAAAAACAGTTTCAAATAATAAAGTTTGTTTCTTTATTTGGTCAGAAAAAGTACACACCAGATAAATGTATTATGTAATAACGAAAAGTACAGAATTCCAAAAAATATAATTTATCTTGAAGATAGTTTGTTTTATAATTCAGTTTAGTGCAAAAATATATGTGTGCACACCTATACTTACTTACATACTAAACTGTTACTTTAATCTCATATCTCGATACCTCAACACTTTCATAACTTTAAATACCCACTCATGACATAAAGCACAATGGTTCAAAAATAAAGATTCACAATACGTACTTACAATCAAAAATCATTAGACATTATGACGTGAGAAAAGCGAGCCCTATCGTTAATTAAAGACGGTAATTTGACATGCTCTGACAGCTAATATTATGTTGAAATTGATTTGTGTTCAAAGTTGAATTATTTTTGACAGAGTCAATAAGCCACCGCTTTCTTTCAAGAAGAATGGCTGTACTCATGGCGGATACCTTTAATTGATGATAGATGAAATAACATTAAGTGTTATTTCTGTCAAATTTGAATCACCCCACTTATTCTACAGCATGAGTGTTTTTGGTTGAGCCTACAATAGTTTAGTACAGTATAGTAAAAATTAACCCATTCAATAGAAAACACTTATACGGCCAGTTAATTGTTTATACAAGTAAGTAATTGCATAATAAGCACACGGCACACCAGCTGCTCCGAAAGGGACTATGAATATTTTGCTCAATTGCAAAAATTACACATTCCTACTCCCATGCTATAGGATGAAAATTAAAATTTGGGTATCAACGTGTCGCAAACTTCGCAGTAATTGCAAAAGTCTTGTGGGCCTAGCGATTGCATTGTAGCAACTAAAGAGAAACCTCAAATAAAACTCTTCTTTTAAACTATGGTAAGTAGCTATCTACCTACTTTCAATCTCTTAAACTACTATCTTTTCTAACTATCGTACTATACCTAACTTACTTTTAAGTTAACCTAGCTACCTATATCACTGTGATGGGGTAGTTAACAATACTCGAATAAGAGACTCTAAGCTTTCAATAACACGCAGCTCTTAAGTTAGAATCATTATGCAGTAAGAATAATTATAAAGGAAGAACAAAAACCATCCAATGCTATGCGTTGTTACTGCTAACAATAGACCAAGATAACGAGACGGGAACCTATTTAAAATAGTTCTAATCGAATATGGCTTTTATGGACGTATTTAACACGATTATTATATTTTAAGAGGGCCCTTGTGACTTGCACTTTGTGTGTATCTGAGCGGCGAGGTGTCGAACTGTCGAATAATAGCTCTGCGTCCAAACTGATTGATTAATGATGCACCCGGCGAAAACAGACCAGCTACCTAATTAAATACTCCCGTCGGTCGAGGATTGACAGGAATGTATGACGAGCTGAACGTTTGACTGACGATTGCTTTTTTTTTTGTATGAATTTAGATGAGATTTGAAAGTTATTATGTACATATAGTGGTGTGACTGCAAGAAAGCTGCGGATTAATTATAGTTCTTGCTATTGAAATTAACACAGCAAATGGATCTCAAAACCTTTTTTTTTCTGTGCGGAAACCCTCTCGGGTAGCACCGTGGTAGTTATGTCGGACTCGAACCAACTAAAACCGCACGTCTCCTCAGGTACCAGTAGCCGGGGAACCAGGTGTACTCTAGAAAGGAAATCCCTGGTACCCCGACGGACTCTGGGCCATCTACGGCTTGTGGATGACCCCTTCCTGTGTGGGAACCACGAAGTTCCTTTTTTGTCCCCTAAAGGGTGCGCGTGCTCCGCAGCCCATTGCACCCCTACCCCGGCTTGCTTCTGCTAGAGTGACAAATGGCCTCACCTGTCACCCCCAAGCCTGCGCTTATGAAGGACGGAGGTCGATCTGTGTCCTCCGTCGCCTAAGTCGTCTGCGGTTCCTGGCCCGTTCCCGGGCCTGGCAGACCGGTACAGTGCTAATCCTCTCCCGGTCCCGGCCAGATTAGCGACCTGGGTATGTGTTGACTTAGTCATTTCTTAAAGCTTAGCTTATTTTACATTTTGATTGTGTTATTTTGATAGATAGTGTAGTGGAGAGTAGAGCAACAAATTCAAAGTAAAGACAGTAAACAGGTTGTATTATTTGACCAGTCTCCTTTTCATAATATATCGTACATTACAAAAAGGAGTCTGGTTATGAAAAAATCATAAATACGTAAACATAACCTACGCGAGAAGTGACGTTTTCTCTTTGGTCATGTAACCATATTACTTCTGAAATATTTATATAATAAAATAGTAAACCACAGAAAATGGTTTACTATCACACATCTGGAAATGTAAAAATACTTAGAAATATAATTATTGATTACGAAAATACTAGCGAAATATCTCCATATGAGTATATGAAAAGTTACATAGAAAAATGTCCAGAATCGATTGAGGATACCAAATTGTCATGGATTGCAGAAACTTTCCTAAGTTTACAGAAACATCAAGAGTTTCTAAAGGAAATCGTAACACATTTTGCTGAAGAACTTTCAAGTGAAGAACAAGAGTACTTCCTGATTATATTCCACGCTGTTGTTTTCCGCACAGAACCAAAAGACATGCAGTATCTTTATAAATGCCTTTTCAATCTATGTAAACCTTTATTAAACACATTCACAAAATTCTTAAGTAATAATGAACTTTTAACTTTCATTTCACAAGTAGCTCAAGCTTATTATGATACTAATTTTATAACGGAAAAAATTATAGGACCACTTTTTGAGTGGCAACCTTATATCAGTGAAATGGCACATAATTATGCAGAGTATGTAAAAAAAATAGAGACGAGAAGACTAAGACTGCCCACAATACCAGTTCAGATGAATGTTTTAAATCGTAAAAGTAAGGATGTGCCTACTACCCCAATACCATCACAACATCTTTTGCCCCCGGCTACTCCACCAAACTCAGTACTCACTAAAAAGAAGAAGATGCTTACAAAAAGTACTATTGATCAAAAGTTAAAAATAATTCATGAAAAAAATAAACAAAAAGCAGCAAATCTACTGAATAATGTAAAAAGCAAAGACTACCACTATGCTCAAACTGCTAAATCTGAGAAATATCATAAAACTATTTCAAATGTGAAAGAAGAAATCGAAAACGCTTTTGCTAAACCTAAGCAGAATTTTTTCATAAAACACACACCACACAGCATACCAGTAAAAGAAACAACTGCAACTGTGAAAAGACTTCAGAAAAGAATGCAAATGGAAGAAGATGAGGAAGTTCAGTGGTTACAAAATGTTATATGTTATAGAAATACGGCCAAAATTGAAGAAATAGCTGAACAAGACAGGCAAGAAAGAGAACGTGAACGATTATTAGATATAGAAAAAAAACACTTAATGGGTCTTATTACTTATGAAGAGGCAGTACTTGCTAAACAGAATTTGGTTGCTGAAAATAAAAAAAAATATGAACAGTTTATCAAAGAAAAACAGTCGTGGAATGAAAAAATTGAAAAGTGGAGAAGAAGCGAAATTGAAAAAAATAAAAAACAAATAGAAAAACAAACCTTAGCAGAATTTAATCTACTTCAAGTTAAAAATGAACTTTCCATAAAGAAAAAAGAGACAGTTGAAATGCTAAAGAAAGAATCCGAGATGAGGTTAGCAAAAGCTATGCAAGAAAAACAAGAAGAATTGGAACGCAAAATTAAAATGATTAAAGAGATAAAAGTATTAGAAATTATCGCTAAGAAAGCGAAGGTGCCTAAAGTCATAGACTTAACAGAAACTTCCAGATTGGGCTTACTTTGTGAAATGTCAATAGCTGAGCTACAAGAAAGATTAAGTTTTATGAAAATGGGGTTAAAAGAGGAGCTCGAAAGAAAGAAACAGAAAATATACGAAGAAAAAGAAGCCGCTAAACAAAACCTTGAAGAAACAAAGAATTCTATTAAGGGCTATATGGAAGAACGTGCCGAAATCCGTAAGCAAAATAAAAAACTAAACAATAACATTACCCTCAATGTTTCAGACACTAAAAACATTAGTAATTTAAAAAAGATTTTACAAGAGAAACGTGAGATGCGATTGAAATTTAACAATCCGTTGCCATTGTTACCATAATGTCAGCGTCCTAGTGATTACGTTGTTTTAATTTGTTTCTTTGTATTGTTATTAATTATAATAAAATCATTATAAAACATTATTTCCTTGTAACTTGTTTTATTTCATCCAGTAAAAGTCCGAAATAGGTAATATATACCTGAAATGCCTTTCTCGATAAATGGCCCATCCAACACTAAAATTGAAGTGAATTAAATGTAAAAATTATGACTGAGATTAGCGTGTTCCACCAACCAAACAAACAAACTCTTCAGCTGTATAATATTAGTATAGATATGTTTCATCATAGTTATTAAGTATTTCTGATACCAATTCATAATCTTATCACAGAAGCTTTACAAAAAGATTTACCCACATACAGAATTCGACAAGTCTCCTCTAATAATATTTATTAATATATTTATTAGAATGTAAATGGGCATTTTTTGTATGAAACATGAAAGACGATGATATGGAGCAACCTGAGTATTGTATTTTAATGCAATTATTGCATTTTTGTTTTGTATAATTGTATGTCCAAATATCTCCTATTGTATCGCATGTTCCTAATGAAGCCTTAAAATACATCGCTGCTTTTTATACGTGTCTAGAAACAGAAAACGAATACAGGCAGACATGGAAAAGAAAACAAATTAACGAAACTTATGTAATAAATTGCTCTGTGTTCCTGCATTGATTCCGTTTAATACTAGGGACAGGCATTATTTTGAAAGAGTAACCCCTAATTTTTTTTTTTTTTACATATATACTTTTCATATTCCCTTATAATTCAAATAAAGTAAGCAGACGTGCATTTCACTTTCACAGAATTAACATCTTAGTTGCAGAATTATTGCTTTCTATGAGATATCATAGTGTGTAGGATTTCGAATTATTTTTCTGTGTATACAAACTACCAAATTTTGTTAGTGTATGGATCCTGTTCAATTTTTTAATGAATACGTTGTACATGAGAAATTTATGATATTGGTAGATTTGAAAAGTTTTTTATACGATAGATAGTCTTAATATTTAATAACAATTTTATTGTAATGTTTTAATCTGCAGGAGAGTAGTAGCGTAAGTAATTGTGTCTTGAGGCGTCTCAATCGATGCGCATGCGTGAATGGTCGGTGCACTTGATTAGTGCCCGGCCAACAGCAATATTAGTAATTTGAATTTATAGTGCCGATTTGACACCTCACTTGATATACGCAAAAGCACAGAACAGATTTTACGACTACATAAGACGTATATGCACCAAATAAATTTTAAAATTTCAATCTTGAACTGACACTTATCAATAAGGACTTTTACACTCGTGTTAATAGTTGTAGTGATTGTCAGATAAAAGTAGTCGATTTTCGTTAGAAACGAAGCCGGTTACCAAGGAGCTTTTTCTAGATGACAACAGTTTATCAGCCAGGAGTTCGGTTAGTGAGATGATAAGCGATTTATTTAAACGTAATTAATAAAAAAATGTTACTTATTAAACCCTATCTATGATTAGTAAAGGGTTAGGGCCTCTTATTAAAGGGTTGTCGCAGAAGGAAAAAAATATTACACATAATTTAAATGTAATGATGCACAATGAGGGTTTTCTGAAATGTTCCACGTGAGATGGCAGCACTGTAGCGTCAGGTCCAACCACCTGTCAAAACACATACACGATTTGTATTTTTCGATCATTTTTTTGGTTTGTTCATTCTTAAAAACGTTACAAAAGGAATACTGATTTCTAAAATGCCACAGTGTTGTGCAGTGCCTATGTGTGCAAATAAAACTTTTTTGCCTCTCTTTTTGAGCTCAATCTTCAGTTCGGCAACCTTTCTCTGGCCGTAATCTATAATAAACTCAATAACTCTTCAAAATTCATAGAATTTCACTAAAATATTATACGTTCGGTAAGAATCTGTGCTATCGGAGAGCTGTTTGGACCTGACGCATACGAAGCGCCGTCTGGTGGCAGAAAAAGTATCGAAGACCCTCATTGAACTTGCCAAATAATTGGACCCTATTGTAATAAATTACATCTAATCGACACTAACTAGCTTGTTAGTAATAATATTTTATTGACAAAAGGTAGATATTACCTTTCTAATATAAGAGACCGATAGCAGTTTCGCTATCATATTATTTTTCTATTATAGCCAAGAACTTGGCTAAAACGTTAGCTTATATAACTATTAAGCAAATTGACATTACCCATAGTAACTTTGCAAATCTGTTGGCAGATAATTTTTTGACATTTATAAAAATTCAAATGACATATGTAATGAATTATCTAATAATGTGATTGACATTTCAAATAATCAAAATTTACTGATAAGATAATAGAGGCTAGCTCTTGCACTTTTAATTTGAACACTAACAGAAAGTTCAATCATAGTAAATTAATTAAAAATAATAAGACAAATAATATCAATTTAGTGTATCAAACATCAGAGGAATGATGGGCAAAGACTTAGAGGTGGAACTGTTTATTAACTGCAATGCGATTGATATTTTTTGTATTACTGAACATTGTCTAGAACGGGATCAGTTCATGTGCAATTTTAATTACCACCAGGTAGGCAGCTCGTTCAGCAGAAGTACAGCAATACATGTTGGTACTATGATACACATTAATTGAGCGAGCGATGTCATCAGTTGAGCGAACTACATAAATCGCCTGTATAGAACTAAAAGGTTTCAAAGTAGTATGTGTATACAGACCTCAATCAGCTATGTATGATTGTTTTAAACGTGTTATGGATGAAGTATTAGTGGAAGTAATAAGATCAAAAATGTCATCATCTGTGGTGACTTTAATATTAACCTATTGGAAAATTCAAGTATTGTAACCAAGTTCAAGGCACTCTTTCAATCATACAATCTGAAGAACTTGTTCTTGGAGCCTACACGAATCACTGCAACCACTGTCACATGTTTAAACAATATATTTACAGACATTGTAATTTAGGACAAGAAAATAATCAATCAATTACACTCTGACCCGTGTGGTCAATTAGTATCTTTCTGTGATAAGTATGAAAAGGTGGCAGAAAAAAGAATTGTGATACCTAAAACCGCAAAGCGTTGTGAAAACTTTAAGGATGAACTTAAAGCTGCTTTTAATACTTCAGAACTCTGCGTAGAGAATAACCTTAACACTTACTATAATAGCTTTTTTGAAACTTTTTTACATTTAGTGAATAGGCTACCTCTGGCTTACTCAAAAGTAGGAAAAGATTATACGAGCTATATGATGAGAGGAATTATAATAAAAGTGAAGAGTTCCATAATTATCTTAAAGAATAATTGAAGTTTTTTAGGAAACTTTGTAAATTGGCAAAGTCTCGCTTTATAAGTTCAAAGATTAAAAGTAGTAATGATAATATTAAAACCACTTGGAAAATTATTAACCGTGAAACTGGAAAAAATCAATACTGTGATAATGCATTTACATAATTTAAATATAAACAATAAATTTGTCACATCAAATGCTGAGGTTGCTGCTGCATTTCAGAACTTTTTTACCGCATGTTGGTAAAAAAGGCTCACTAAACTCACAGGCTAAAACTCTAGGCTCCAAAAGATGCACAAGTCGTTTCGAGGTCACTGTGCCCGACTTTATTATAAAATCCCAAATAATATTCAAGACTAAAGGATTAACAAATTTAAATATGCAATAAAACGTAAATTATGTCAGAAAGCCTATTACTCAATTGTGGATTACATAGAAGACAAAAATGCTTGGGATTAATTTAGCGCAGGCCATTTCTTAAATGGCCTGCGCCATTTCTTCATAGAAATGTAATGTGGGCTAGAGTGTTTTTGTTGTTATTATTTTTTTTTGTTTCACTTCACGTTCTCTTTTATTTGATCATTTTTCTTTACCTTATTTTTCACTTTACTGTCTTTTTAACTTTTAGTCCTTCATAACGGACATACTGGCACTCATCAAAACTATATTGTGGTATATTTAATGATGCCATTGTATATATGTGTGAATTGCAAAAGAGTGGCCATGAGTTTGTTTGCCTTTTCTTCTCATAAGGCTCAACCCCTTGGAAATGGTCGATTGTAGATCACACAGTGTGCACAGGCATATCATAGATTTTATATTAGTATATTTTTTATTAAATTTTTTTGCCAATTATTTGACAAAACAGAGATTGTTGCTATTGTGTGTGTACGACTGTAGATTAGAATCTACATAAAAGGCGATTTTAAACTTTTTTTTATGAAATACTGATATTTTTAATTTGTATTTGAATTATGAGATAAGTGAATACAGCATAAGAATTATGAGTCTCCAATTCTAAGGAAACTTGGTAAAATTTTGATTAAGATTTTTTTTGATAATTTAAAACCACTAACGGCCCACTTCCGCCAACAATATTTAAGGGATCAATTAGGAAATTATGCAAAGCTAATGGCATGCAATATATAATATAATATTCATTATTTTTATTATTATCGTTTCAGATATTAAACTGAAAATTTTAACAATAGATAAGCTCAAACCAAATTTATTAAACAGTATTATATTAGTTTTAAAGTAGGCATTTATTATTAGCTTTTATAAATTATTAAAATATATAAGTATGTATTTCTCAATTTATAAGTAAAAATAAAATAAACGGACAAATAAAATAACTATCACGGCTAATGCAGCTTATAATATACTTGTTTAACCAACTTTACATTTGAATTGAATTTGCATTTCATTGTCATAATACCTGACATATTGGAATTGAATTACTCAATATCTTCTAAACAATTTTTAAATCAACATTAATCTACTTGATCGTAAAATTCCACGACACACACAGGTGATAATCTGAGCTTAAATAATCCAATAACTCGATGTTATCAACATAATATGTATCGAGTGACGACGTATCCAAATCGAAGAAACCTAGTCAATACAATTTGGATTAAGGTAATAAATAAGGTGGGTTCGCCCGTTCATTTGTATCAGCGTATAATTTAAATTCTTTAACGCCAATGTTCAAGATTACGCGGCGAGATAGAGG